TCCATCCATCCATCCATCCATCCATCCATCCATCCATCCATCCATCCATCCATCCATCCACCCACCAGTGGGGTCACGAGGGGTGCTGGTGCCTATCTCCAGCTGTCTACGGGCGAGAGGCAGGGTACAGCCTGGACAGGTCGCCAGTCCATCGTAGGGCAACACAGAGATAAACAACCATTCACGCACACACTCACACCTAAGGAGAATGTAGAGAAGCCATTTAACCTAACAGTCATGTTTTTGGACTGTGGGAGGAAGCAGGTGTACCCGGAGAGAACCCACGCATGCTCAGGGAGACCTAAAAGTTTTCATGTTTGTTTATTTACTTTCTTGCAAATCAATCTACAATGATCCAACAACAACCTTCTCAATATTTAGTTTGCCCTTTAATATGTGAGCTCACTCAGCTGAGAAGAAGAGAATATTCAGAACAATGTAATATAACAGTGTCACCATGTCAAATCCTCTGCTTACATTCTGCCTCTTGTAACATATTGAGTCCCTCATACATATTTAATTGTCAATGCTGGGTTTCATTTCTGCATGAATAATTTCCCTCTGTTTTTATTGCCGTCAATCTCTCTGCTTAGTTGTGTGCACCAGCAGTCAAGAATGGACCATGAGTCAAACTGTTCAAGAGCTTCATCTGGTAAGCCCAAGGGTACCGTTTGGCTTTTGCAGCGGGACTTGATACTGGATTGATGTTTTGTCTGTGTGTTCTTCAGGGCGTGTTGGGAGGACTATGCAGTGGGAAGTCTGCCCTCGTCCACAGACACCTGACAGGAAGTTATCAGCCGGAGGAGAACGCAGAGGGTTAGTTTAACATCTTTTTACTTCTAGCTGTTTTCTCGTTAGATTGCCATTTCATCATCTTGTCACTTCAGGGTGTTTTAGCTGGACAAACAGGATCAGAAGGACCCAAGGAGGAATGCAGCAGAGAGCTAAGGGGAGAAAAATGTGGAGACGTCTTAAGAATTTAGGCTATAAAAAAAACTTTATATGCTTTAAGTATCTCTCAAGGACCTAATTCATCTGAATATCACTTTTTGAGCTGAGCCTTAATTGAGGACTGGCACGATGACAGAAATCCATAAGCAGAGTTTGTAGTTTGCCACGAAAATTAAAGAGACAGCAATATGTAGAAGAAGGGGCTCTGATTGGATGGGATTAAAATGAAACATTTTGGTTTAAATGTCAGTGTGAATACTTGTGTAAACTAAATGTGCACCAGTAATGACAGCGTTTATCCTGACCAGGGCGTCAGTACATTAAGGACGTTCTGGTGGACGGACTGAGCCACCTACTGATAATCAGAGAAGAGACAGAGCTGCCAGGGCCTCAGGTGGGCTGCAGACTGATTAAACCTGGCCAGAATAATCAACATATTCTACACATTTCATGGTTTTAATCGTCTTCTTCCTTGTGTCTTAGTTTGCCAGTTGGGTGGATGCAGTCATTTTGGTATTCAGTTTGGAAAATGAAACCAGCTTTCAGGAAGTTTACAAATTCTACCACCAGCTTTCTCTGCACCGGCCCATCACTGAGATACCTTTCGTAGTTGTCGGTACTCAAGGTAGGCCTTCCCTGCTAAAGTATGTGCAGGTTTTTGTGGATGGGACTGTTTTTTTGTTGTTGTTTTTATTGAACTTTATTCCTTTCTCAGATAAAATCAGCAGCACAAACCCCAGAGTAATTGATGATGCCAAGGCACGACAGCTGTGTTCAGATGTGCGGCGCTGCACTTACTATGAAACCTGCGCAACCTACGGCCTCAATGTGAACAGAGTCTTCAATGATGGTGAGCGTTAACATTAGATTTAATCTTGCTGTATTTTCCTTTTTTGAAATGGAATTAAGTTTTTTTTTAATTTGATTCAACAGCTGCTCAGAAGATTATGGCAGCCAAAAAACAAGCAGCTTTACTGGCTTCCTGTAAATCTCTTCCCAACTCTCCCAGTCACTCTGGAGGCTCCACCCCAGTATCTGGAGTCTTCACAGGACAGGTAAACTTACTGTAATTCATTCCATGTATGTTTTAGGTCAGGTTTTGAAATAGCTGCTCGTCTCCCTCCTCTTGCTCAGTGTTCATACTCCTTCCTCCCCTCTGCTCCGATTCTCTCCTCTCTGTAGGCTAGTAACGGAGGTCAGAGCAGTGACTACTCGTCATCGCTTCCCTCCACTCCTGTGATCAGCCATAAAGAGATAGCTAGAACCTTGAGAGGGGAGAAAGGGGACAGTGGCGTGCCTGGGTCGGTCCGGAGCGTCCGCAAACGCACACCTAGATTTGTTGTGAGTGTAGCACAAACCTCGATTTTTCTTTTTTTTTCCATACATATATATATATATATATATATATATATATATATATATATATATATATAAATTATTAAATGTATTTCTGGCAACCTTTTTTTTTCTATTGTTTTGCATTGTAGAGCTTGATGGAAACAGAAAAATTTGACTTCATTTAGCAGAAAATAAAGCTTTTTAGGCTTGTTTATGTTTTTTTATTTTCTTTGAAAGAAAGTGAATGCTCTAAAGAGGATATGGAAAAAATTTTTTTTCCAATAAACACAGTGAATAGTTTCCTCATATGACTGATCAGCTGTTTCCACCTCCACTGGCATCCTGAATGAAGCATTTGAATTACACTTCTTTCTTGATGTTTTCAAATGGCATTAACCGTCGCTAATACTAGCTGACACGATAATGTAAAAGTTGCCCGATTATAATAAAATCCCTGATCTGTGTTCTCCGCTAGCTTACCAATTCTACTTCCTGTTTTTACTACAGCCAGACTTAACATCAGCGAATGACGGCATTACGCTTTGCATCGCTTCATAAGTTTTCTGCAGTCGATAGAAAGGTGTCTAATTCTATTTTTGTTTTTGCTTTTTAAGAGTTCCCTCAAAATTAACAGTATTTGGATTAAAGCACAGCTGCTCTGGATTCTTTGACGGTGAGCTAAGATGGTCCTGCTGCAGCAAAGTATTCCCAAACCACAATACTTCCACCTCAGTGAGGCACAGTTGGTGTGAGGCTCTTTCCATTGAAAGCTGTATTTGGGTTATATCACAGATTTCTTCTTTGCTGATTTTCTAATACTTCAACCTGTCTGTTTATCTTCTTAGTTAAAACAATTTTAACGTGTTAAATGTAGGTTTTATTTAGCACCTAGTTCTTTGCGCTCAGGGTAGCCTTGGTTACACAACCTAGGCTGGGCATGTTGGTAGTTAATTTTAATGTCATCCATGGACTATTTCCCATACAGTGAAAGGGCTGGTGTTGATCTGATATGTCATTTTGAGATTCTTAAGTGGCCAATAGGTGCAAACGTGCCAAAAATGAATAAATGTGCAGCAAATACAGACATTAATGAAAAAACACAATACACAAATGCACATGCAACACATGCAAAGACAATGTAGAGACGAGTGAGTTAAGAAAAGCTGCTAACTAGCTTCAGATAACAGATGTGCTCCACACCACTACTGTAGGTGGAGATGTCATATAGCACTATAGACCTTTAGCCAATACATAAATGGGATGCCCAGTGTTTAAAAAGGGTTATACAAGATAAATGTAATTTTCTTTCTTCCTTCCAAGTTTCCTCTGGGCGTGGATCAGGTTTTTACAGAAGGCCTGATTTGTGGACATTCATTTGAAATACATTTCTATTGTCTGGTCCCATGAGTTGATTATAATCGCCCCCCAGTGGTTTGGAGCACTTCCGTTATTATCACATGTTAACTTTTCTTAACTTGCACTTGTTTTTTGCTACTAGCTGTATTTTTCCTCAGATTGTGTTTCTTGTGTTAGTGCATCAGACTAAGTATGTGTGTGTTTGCTGTACTTTTTCTATTGGTTGCACTTTTATTTATCTGCAGCGAGTTTGCACCCTTCTTCCATTTGTATTTTTATAGAACAGAAATTCCTATTTTATAGTTATATTTCACATAAGTATATGTCTGACAGTCATTTTTTCACAGATGCTTTCTTTAAACATCTGTATGTTGTGTTAAAAAATAGGCTATGTCTCTACACCTTGAAGCTTTCTTTTCCCAGTTCTTTTCCTGAAAAGAGACCACCCAGGACAGACTCTTTAAATAACACTTCATAACTTGTATGTATTTAATAAGCATGAGACATGACAACAGATTCTGATAGAAATTGTAATCTTACTCAGATCAGAGAAGCTGCTTAGAGTTACAGAAGGCAGCTGCTTACCCCCAGGCTCAATTCTCGGGAAGTGGCCCCGATTAACAGTGAAAGAGGCATTTTATTCATTTCCAGTCTGCCACATTGTCACATTTTACATCATACACATTAGCAGATGATGAGACATCCATGGCTCCAGCCTTATCAAAATATTACACTTTGTTCTTAGCTGAAGGACATGTTCTCATTCCATTCCCAAATATTTGCCACATACATTGAAGAATATAGCTGTATATCCGATTATAGCTGTATATATGTTTTCCATATAGATAAACAGTCTTAATTAGATAAACTATTGGGGAAAACATCAGTTCTGACACACAACAGGCAGGTAATGTTAAGGTGTAATAAACTCACACATCATCAATGATAATTATCCTAACAGTTGTACTATAAGTTTGATCAGAACTGTAGCTGTAAAGTTGGATCAAAAGTGCAGAAGGTTAGATGTGACCTTGTATTTTTCTGATGTTACTGCTCTGTGCAGCCCCAGCCTTTCCTATCAGCATCATCTTCCCAGCTGATGTAATTTCCCCTTTATTGAATAATAATCTTAACTAATTACTCCATTCCTGCCAATGATGCAGCTTTTCCTTCCCTCTGTGCAGGGCCGCAGAGGCAGCGACTCAAACAGGCGGAGTGCAGATTTTAAGGGCGACTTCGGCAGCGGGAGATTCATCCCCATCAAACAGGTAAGATACGGATTCCTTTGTGATACAGGAACAGATAATTGTATCTGATGACCCCCAGCTGAGGTCACGAAGCCAGCAGTTGCTGCAGGATATGTGAAGCTAGTTTGTCATAAAGAGCTGCAGTCTCTCATGCTGGTGTGTTGAAGGGACGGTGGGTGTTTTTGGCACCCAGTGAGTCTTCATGGCACCAAAATATGTGACAATATAGAAATATATTTTCCATTTTTAGTTGTCTTTTTTTAATCACCATCAGGGCATCTTGCTAAAGCGCAGTGGGAGCTCGCTCAACAAAGAGTGGAAAAAGAAATATGTCACTCTATCCAGTGATGGCATCCTCTCGTATCACTCCAGTGTCAATGTGAGTCCCAGTGTTCCAACTCTGCAATGCAAACCTTTTCACTGAAGCCTGAGACTGAAAGTCTGCTTTATGGCTTTGTCAGGATTACATGCTGAACACTCCTGGGAAAGAGATGGACCTGCTTCGAGTGACTGTTAAGGTCCCCGGAAAGCGCCCCCCTCGTGCTGTACCGGCATGCCCTGCTGGGCTTAATGGTCGCGCTAAAGATATGCTGGGACCTGAAGGTAAAGGCTCCTGTTTGTATACCTACAGAAGGAATAAAGAGAATTTTAGATGCCTTCACAAGCAAATGCATGTAGTGCACCTTAATTTATCATATTAGACCATACATTTACAGGCATTAACATTCTTAAACAACTATGTTAAGCTTAAACTAAGATCCCATGATGCATTTTGTCTGTTAGCATTCATGATAAAAACAGGAAATGGATATGTTTTGTTAAAAGTGCCACACAAAAAAAAGAGGATGGATGGATGGATGGATGGATGGATGGATGGATGGATGGATGGATGGATGGATGGATGGATGGATGGATGGATGGATGGATGGACGAAAAGACAGACAGAATGATGGATGGACGGACAAAAGGAGAGAATGATGATAGATGAATTTACGGATTGAAGGACGGAATGGATGATGGACAGATGGATGGTATCATGGATGGACTGGATGATGGACAGATGGATGGTATCATGGATGGACTGGATGATGGACAGATGGATGGTATCATGGATGGACTGGATGATGGACGGACAGACCTATGGATGGATGGATCCATGAAGGAACTCACACTGCTCTTTCTTCTGCAATAAGCACCCATTTGCTATTGCATTCATTACAACGCTGCTTCAGTTTATTGAAGTATGAAAACTTCTCACAACTTAATGCCTTCTCTCCACTAGAAGTTGCTATGTTAAAGTTCATCTTTAGACTTTTACTAAAATGCACCAGTAGTAGATTGTGGTTGGCAGACGATTGTGTTGTTGCATGGCTCTGTTTGATGCAGACTATTTGTTCTTTCTGACATTGTTGATAGGATAGTTATTTAGTTGTAATGATAACCTGACTAAGAAAGTAGTGTTATTCTTATGGTTACTGGATAAAGGAATTGGGTTTTTGGTCAGAATAAACATAAGCGCGTTAATTTTTAAGCTTTAAAAGCAATGTACCCACTCGGCAGAGTGGTGATGACCGCATCGTGCTTAGGGTCTGTTTTGCTATCGGTGATACTAGTATATTGCACATTGCAGCTTCTCATATTTCCGTACTTTATCATTAAAGGTTGTGCCTTCAGCACAATGAGCTTAAACGCATAAAAACTGAACGCTTTGGCAGGGATTTAGAGGGGCAGATTTAAGCTTCTAGAATAGTTCCAAACTCAACCCCATTGAATATTGATTAGGCATACTTACAAGCAGATTTTGCAGTGAATATAACTACTCCAAATGAGCTCAGACATTTCTAAAGAAAGAAATTCAGCCAGAATAATGTAACATGCATGCATTACTTTTAAACTGCTTGATTTCTGACTCCCTTTTGTGGTAGATTTGCTGATGTACTTAAGTTGACTGTCTTGATGCATGACCCAGTTTCTTTCATGCAGCCTCTGCTGTCAGGCAGATGTTTTTCACATTTGACTCTGCAGCTTTTCAAAGCCAGCTAAGCCTCCTGATCATTGTGACTCACATCTAGTAAAAAAAGAAAGTTAGAAGAAGCAATTATTGCAAATAGCTTAAATCATGCAGATAACAGGTTAATAAACCCTAGTCAATGCCTTCATTGTCATATATATGGGCTGCAACTAAAAACTGAACTGAGATATATGCATACAAGGCCATTGCAATTTTTGAGAAGGGCTTTGCACACTCAATTGGAAGGGCATTGTAGCAGAGCAGTCTTAAAAACGTTACCAAAGGTAATAATAAAGATAAATGTGAACCTATAATTTATGCTGATCTTACTTTGCAGTTAGAAATCCTATTTCTGTCATTGGTTTAGTCAGTACAAGTGGCCTCCTGCAAATGGAGGAGGTTGAAGGATTGGGCGGGGCTCTATTCCTGAGAAGCAACATTGGTGTTCAGCGCTGCTCATCCACACTGTCCAACCATGCCCAAGGTGTTGGTGAGTAATGCAAAGCATTTCTTTGGTCCAATGTTGTCGTTAAAACAACGTTGCAGCAATCAAATGTACAACTTTTGACATTTTCTTTCTGCACTCTTGGGGCCAGACTCTGCAGTCGAGGGAGTCTCCAGCTCCTCATCTACCAAAGATGTTGGCTCAGCCTCCCCGCTGACCGACAGGAAGAAGCACCGCAGAAAGAAGAGCATGAATCAGAAAGGAGACACAGCTGTGGGCCAAGCAGACGGTGCAGTTTTTTAATTATTTTTTTCATGCAAACATTTTTTTCTTGTTCTTTCTAATGCATATTGCTGCCTGGTTTAATATGCAATAAAAAATGTGTCGATTTTTGTCTTTTCAACATTGTGTTTGTTCCTTTTTTAAATTGCAGCTAAACGGAAAATGTGGAAACTGAAAAGTTTTGGGAGCTCCAGAAACGTAAGCAAAACAGGTAATATCTGAGTATACCACTACATGTTTTTAGAAATATTTAATTTAAATTCTGTCCAATTGCACTGAAATATTCAGTTATTGTGCCTCATAAATCCAGCTTGAATATTTAATCCTGCCAGCTAAAGTACTTTGTACTGGACATAAAGAATTGTTGATACTAAAGAGTGCTTTTATAAACAAATCAAAACTCCAATTCCATTCAAGAACGTTGGCCGACAGGCTGAGATGTTTGTTATAATAGCTTCAGGTTAGAGGTTTTTATTCAAGGACCACCCTGTGTCTTTCTCCATCCATGTCATCTTCAGCTCCAAACAGCTCTCAGCAGAAGAAAATTATCCCCACACCATAACACTGTCACCATCATGTTTCACGGTGGGGCATAAAATGTTAAGGATGATGTTCAGTATAAAAAGTGGGTATAATCTCAAATATACCTTTGTGGATAATCCTGCTTGTCTCTGTTGTGTCAGATGAAGACAACTTTGACTTCCTGGTTGTGTCGAGCACCGGCCAGACGTGGCACTTTGAAGCCCAGAGTGTGGAGGAGAGGGATTCCTGGGTACAGGCCATTGAGAGCCAGATCCTGGCCAGCCTGCAGCTCTGTGAGAGCAGCAAGAACAAGGCAAGGACAAATCCACAGCTTAGGACTAAGTCTGTGTGTTTAGCTAATTTAATGTGAACAGAATCCTTCCAATTAATTCCTAAACTTTGTCATTTTAAGATTCACTCAACATTTATTTAGCACATTTCATTTATAGTAAAGATGGATCACAGTGCATTACAAAAATCTAGAAGTATACAGGCAGAGGAACTAGCAAGCCTCCTGTCACCACCTGACCACCCACACAATAAAGTAGACGCACACTCACACAGACTTATAATTGGCTGTGGAAACCAAGGAAACGCTTCCTGTAACCATAGGTGTCTGCAAAGCTTGACAGATAACCATATACATTTTAATGGAAAACTAAGGTGTATGTAACAAAAGAATAAACTTGAAAGCATGGCAATGTTTAAAAAAACAAACAATGATCTATTTGTTAAGTGCTCAGTGGGGGCACCACAAAAACTGATTTAAAAATAAATCTCTCACCGATAGAATGAGTATTTTTGTCTTTGACATAAAATAAGTAGATATTATGCACCTCAATTAAGATAAAGGGGTTTCCTTGTTTTTAAAGTAATTTATCTTACTCCACCTGCAAATTGTCTTGCTTACCTGCTCAAATCAAGGTACCGTACTATACTTGCCAAAAGAAACATTGCTCTTGAATCTTAAGTCAAAAAGCAAATCAGGCTGATATTTATAGGGTAAGACCACATGAAGAAATGGAAAGCACAGTTCTTCAATCATTTTTAGTGAATGCAAATAGGTGTGTTGATTGCTTCTCATCTCTAACCTTCTGTTTTCCTGCAGGATCGCAAGAACAGCCAAAGTGAAGCTGTGGCACTACAGGCGATCCGCAATGCGAAAGGGAACAACTTCTGTGTTGACTGTGACGCTCCAAGTTAGTAATAATCCCTCATGGCTCCTTTTCTGTTATTTTGTTCACTGCCACAACACTATACCTCTGTACATTTCTGTCTCTATGTTGGCTTTTCATATCCGTTTACTTTTCTTCATCAATCTGAACTTATTTCTTTTTTTGAAATGTTATGTTTGAAGCTGATTTCTCTATTTATGCCTTTTGCTAGAAAAAAATAAACCATATTTAAATTTAGATATTAAAAGTTAGCAGGGAGATAAAAACCATGACTCTTTTTTTCAATGTCAAACTTACTGCTGGGATGCCAGCTTTTCAGCATGGCAAATATACAGTCTGGAAATGGACTGCAAGGTTGGCAACAGATGGGATCCTGTGGGTCACATCAGGACTCTGTTAATTTTATGCATACATTTGATGAAGGAAATCTTTGGTTCAAAAAGTTGGACCCATATGGGTCAGATCCATTAGAAATGTAAACTTATGACCCAAACTGAGCTCAGTTAAGACCTATTATAACAGGGGCCCTGCTGGTTTTGCTGATATGGGCTGTTTTTAAACAATCCTAATGGACCTTAATGTGACTCCAAACCCGCATAGGGTTAGAGTCTGAACAAGTGGGCAATCAAATGAATTTGTGGTAATTTTGATAATCAAAAAAAAAAAAGGACAGAGCATGATCCGACTCCAGCTTTTAGAAAATCCTTAAGAAGCGTCCAAAAGAAAGAATCTCATTAATAATGATTCTGAACCAGATTGATGTCTCATTCTTATTCACTGTTTCATCCCTGAAGATCCAACATGGGCCAGCCTGAACCTGGGGGCTCTCATATGCATCGAGTGTTCTGGGATTCATAGGAACCTGGGGACCCACTTGTCACGGGTCCGCTCGCTGGCCCTCGACGACCTGCCGAGGGAGCTCACCCTGGTTCTCAGCGCCATTGGCAACCACATGGTCAACAGTATATGGGAAGCACGCACAATGGGCCACCGGAAACCAGCACCTGATGCTACGCGGTAAATAAAGTCTGTCTGTACATTTTTGCTCACTGGTTTGTCATAAATCCCCAACACCTCACCTTTTTTCCTGTCTTCCTTGTGGGTCTTTGTTAGAGAGGAGCGGGAGTCGTGGATCAGAGCCAAGTATGAACAGAAACTGTTTGTGGCGCCGCTGCCTCCACCCACACCCAGCGAGGGCCCAGACATCAGCATGTCGGGCCGTCTTCTGTTGGCAGTGATGGAGCGCAATCTGTCCAAGCTGCTGCTCCTGTTGGCCCACTGCACAAAGGAGGACATCAACGCCCCTCCCTTCCTGTCGCTCCCCTCCAGGTCGCTCCTGGCCCTGCGTCTGCCTGGCTCTGCCCTGCACGCTGCCTGTCAGCAGGCTGATGTGGTGATGACGCAGCTTCTAGTCTGGGTGTGTTTTATTTACCCTGTAGCCCTCCAACTCCATAAGTATTAAATGCAGTCTCTTGCTACTATATATATATATATATATATATATATATATA